AGCATGGTCTTTGACCAATTGCATCTGAAACATCGGAGCTTAAACGAGTCGTTATTGAGCATGGTGTGGTCCCATGTTTGTGCAACTTCTTAGCTCTGGCAGTGATGATGTCAGAGTGCAGGTTCCTTCTCCTTACCTTTCATACTTTTCATTGACCTGAGATTGAGAGCTTTGCTCAAAACGGCTTTGCACTTTGTGAATTTTTTTGAGTCATGAATATCATTAATTTTCCAATATCAATATATAAGTTAAAAGCAAGGTTCAGAAATTTCATTGACTTGAGTGCGCTGTGGAAAAAGTCTCTGGACTTTCTAAATAATTCTGAGGCATGCATATCGGGAAATCTTTTCAATATCTTTAAGTTTCATATATTATCCTGCTCGTTATTTTGGTATATGTTTTTTTTAGGTTCGAAGTTTTACCGACTCTATAATTCATAATTTCTCTTCCTTTTACTGTCAGATCTTTCTACTTGTTTGACTTTACTGGGTGACGACGCTTGCTTTCTTGTTTTGAACAAGCAATGTGGGCTCTACGCAACGTTGCTGAATTGCAGGGATCTTGTTCTTGGACAAGGTGCACTGGACTTTTTTCTTGTTCAAAACTTTATAGATACAGCAGTAGCATGTGTTAAACTAAAACGTCATCTGGTATCCCTTCGTAGAATAATTTGTGTCAAAGCCTTATCATAACTGGAATAAGTACCCTTTCTGCTTGCTTATCAGCACATAATCTTACAGGTGAAGCCTGCCTTGCCAATTCTAAAACATCTCTTTTACTTGAATGATGAAGAAATCTTGACAGATGCTTGCTGGGTCCTATCTGATCTCTCGGATGGTTCGAATGAAAAAATTCAACGCAGGTGTATGTTCACGACTTGTGGAGCGTTGGCTGTAAGTTTCTAAACCCTTTACAAACTATTCACACATGTGGCATTGGTCTTCAATGGTTTGATATACTGTTTAGCATATTCACTTTGTGTGTGTTTTTGTTGACTACAATTTGTTTATGCCAGTCTCCATCACCTACGGTTCTTATACATGCTCTTTGGAAGTAAAATTGTTACCGGTGACGATGCCCAGACTCAGGTATTGACACTAATATATAGTTATATACCCTTTAGAGTCTAATGTCATCTGAAATCTGCTCTTCTTATTGGATAGGAGTCTTATGTAAATTGTATGCATCTAATAAAAGAAAAAAATATGAAGAGAAATTTTTTGATACTCTTCTTCATGAACTGAGAAGAGGATTTGAAGTTCATGTTCCGGACACTGTATTTAACATGTGGATTGCATTCATATAAACACTACTACTTTGATAATATAGACTGGGAAATCATTCAAGTATTTGCTTCCTAAAGTGCCAATCCAAACGCAACATATGTAATGCTTATCCCATGCATTTGATCAAAGCATTGCACCCATTAGATCCACTATACTGCACCGTTCGTGTTTTGGGTGGACTTCTGGTCTGTTCTCACGTAAGTGCTTATATAAATATTTCAGGGGTTTTAGGTCATGTTTTGCTCTTAGTTTCTCTGAGAAACGATTCCAAGAGAATTAATTGTCTTGCTTTGTTGCATAACAGGTCAGTGTTAAATAAGTGGAACATCATCCATAAAACTTATTCCCCGCGCACTTCCTATGTTGGTTCTGTTGCAGGTGATAAACCACAGTTCCATTTCGTTACTGAAACTGCAGCTAGGAAGTCCATATTGCAGAAGGACCTCTCATCAGATATGAAGTCTGGTTCTAGTTCCACAGAATCCTAGCATATTTATAATTGAATTGTAAATCCTACTCCTGTATTGATTAGTTGTGTTCTCCTATAAATATTAATGAAATCCGGCTCACTCATTTTTGAGTTGAGTTCTACAAATACATTCTTCTATCTTTCATGGTATCAGAGCCCGAGTCTAACGACAAAGGTTCATGTTTCAAATAATTTTTTTTTCCTTCTTTCCTCAGACATGGCGTCCTCCTGTAATGTACTGGAGGAATCAGGTGGATCAGCCTATAATGTACTGCAGGAACCACAACAAATGGAGACTGAGACTCTTCACACGCTGAGCCCTCACCTCAGCTGTCTTGGAGACAGGGTAAGGTCCATAATCTTAATCTCTTTTGAACATAAGTTCTTGCACATCCTGCATTTGCAGTTGGATTCTGAAAAGTTGAAAGTAGAGGTCAATATTTATGTTTCTGAACTTGATCTTGACATGTTGCCTTGGGGCTCCAAAAACATTTCGCAAATGTCACAACTTATGATTGTTTTGCAACATCTTCAAGAAGCGACCAATTCGTACCTGCACCAGTGGTCATTTTGTTGAAAAAAAATGGATTGAAACTTTGAGACACAGAAAGGAATGTGATTGAAAGTAGTTGAGAAAATATGAAATTGTTGTGTAAGGTATAATGAGAAGGTATTTATAGAAAAGTAAAAACAATTTTTTTAAAAAAAATTTCAATTTTTTTTTTAATTTTTTACAACTTTTTTAAAATTTTTATTCAACTAATTAATCTCTGCCGTTGGATATAAAAAATTTTGAATTCCAACACTCCAGATTGTGCCAAGTGTCACAACGGTAACTTTTCTTAATTTTAAAACTATTTTTTTCTTTTATTTTTTTATTTATAAAGCATATTAATATCCACCGTTGATCTCAGATCAAACGGTTGATATTAAATAAGACTTTTTTTTTTTGACCGTTGAGATCGAACGGTCCAAATTAAAGATCCGTTGAGATTGAACGGACTGTGGGAAGCCATGTGGCTTCCCAACGGTCATTGAAAAAGCAATTTTTTTTTTTCTGATTTTGTGTCGGCGACGCGCCCCCATGCGCGATTGGGGTGCACGCGCCTGACAGAAAAAAAATTAAAAAAGGCCCGACGCCAGGCTGACGCCAGCGCTGGCGTCACAGGGCCTTAGGCTCTCGGGCTGGCAATTCTCCACGGGCCTGAAGCTCGAGCCTCCACCTTCACTCGGACTCTCCAACGCTGAAGCCGGTCCACAGGGCCTCGGGCCCCTTTTCTCTCCCCCGTCCCCCGAGCAACCAGCAACGTTGGGCTTGCTCTAAGGAATGCGAAGGAAGAAAAACGGTTCAGTTGGTCATAGGTTTAGCTAGGATCTGTTGCGCTGGTCATGGTTTTAGCTAGGATCTGTGGGTGTGTGCAGTGGTTAGGGTTTTTGGGGGAGAGAATAATAAAAAAAAAGGGTGTGAGGAAGAGGTTGGTTTGTGAAATAATGTTCGTGAAACTACACTTATACTAGATAGAGCCAGTTATAGCAAATGATTCTTGAACTTTAGTTAAACTAACCACACATTTACACACCAACCAAACTTCAAAATACACAGCAAACTTTAAAATATACACCAACCAAATTTCAATGGACAAACCAACCAACCAAACTTCAATATATACAAATCGACTAGCTAAACTTCAATACACGCACCAATCAAACTTCAATACACACACCAACCAAACTTCAATATACAAACAAAATCCAACCAAACTTCAATACACTACCAACCAAGTTTCAATACGCACAACCAACCAAATTTCAATGTTGAATTTTTTTTTGTTTTGGCCTTTGGATTGCTATTTTAGTAGAAAATTGATAGTTAAACATTTAAGCTGTTAAAAAGTAAAAGATTTGCTTGCACGGATGACCATTTGGATTGCTGGAAATGTTTCCTTGAGATTGTTGGAAAAAATAAACACCAAACAAAGATCAATAAATCCAGGATTATAATAAGTAATGAAACAACACAAAAACAAACACACAAGCAGAAGTCATCGTTCGTTCTAATTCCGCGTAAACACAAACAAGAGCGATAATTTGCCTTACTAGAAGTATGGAAACGCAAAATAAAATGAACAGCCGCTTGAAGCCATAGCACTTCCATCAAATTCGATAGACGAGGCTATGTGCAAAACCAAAAACACTGGTTCTTGGCAGTGAGGGAAAATCAGATTGAGGTTTGGCAATCCATCAAATGGAGGTGAAAAACCTACAACTATCGATGATTTGTGTCTGCGGGTTCTCAATCTTATCCGACCCCTCGCATTCATCGATGATTTGTGCATAAAGAGTTCAAAGTTGAAACTCATTAATATTTTTTAAGACCCCAAAAATCTAAGGTCGAGTTAGTAAGTAGACGCACTAAAATGCCTGCTAGTAGTCGTACTGACAACGAGGTTTTAGTATAGGATGGTTTTAAGAAGATCAAATTTCTAACCAAATGATGTGTATGTTAATAATTAGATTATTACGTTGAAATTGAATAACGTGTTTATTTTATATTGATTAAATATTATTTAATTTGTAAATTTAAATTAAAAATTTGATTTCTTTAACATTATCTTATAGAATATTACAAAATAATTTTGTATAAATAGGATATTGATACGAAAGGCAGCATGGTCAAATCACATGGAAAAGGTAAGTACAGAAGGGAAGAATATGGCCGCTTCTTAACCCCTAACAATCCCCAACAAAGAAAAAACTCCTCTCTCCGCCGCAAAGCCATGAAACCCTCTCTATCTCTGTCTGTCACCCACTGGCATACCCATGAAACGCCGGTCCAAAGCCAGATCCGAGGCTAAGAGCCTCCTCAGATCAGGATTCAAGGCCAAGAAGAGACTCCTCGGATCAGGATTCAAGGCCAAGAGCCTCCCCGATCAGGATCCAGTCATAGGATGAATCCAGCCCGACCGCAGAAGCTCCGAGGTGAGATCCGACTTGTAATAGGATTGTTGTGTTACAACGAATGAATGGATTGAAATTACATGAACCATGGTTCTCAAATTGGAAGTCATTTGATTTTGTTTCATTCGATCCAAAAGCTAAAAATAAACAAAGATGAGCGCACATGGGGAGAAGCGGATTTTTACAAAAATCAGTTCCTATTAGTGATGGCGTATTGAAACATTCCCAAATGCTTTCTAGACTTTCCCAAAAACGTTACATATAACTCTTGAAAATGGTGGAAAAAATAAACACGAAACAAAGATCAATAAATTTAGGATTCTAACAAGTAATGAACAACACAGAAACAAACACATAGGGCAGAAGCCATAATTTTAGTTCTAATTCCGCGTAAACACAAAAGCGACAATTTTCCTTACTAGGAAGTATGGAACCGCAAAATAAAATGGGCAGCCGCTTGCAGCAGTAGCACTTCTATCAAATTCGATGGACGAGCCTATGTTCAAAACCAACAACCCTGGTTCTTGGCAGTGAGGGAAAATCAGAATGAGGTTTTGGCAATTCATCAAATGGAGGTGAAAAACCTGCACTGCTAGAAACCTAAACCACATTTTGTTCATCCGAAATTGAAGCCACCCGGAGGAGGGTTGGGCTGGTTTGCTCCGAAAGTAAAACCTTGTTGATTTCCACTTCCATTCCCATTCTCCTGGACTTCCTCATCTTCTTCGGTCCAATATCTCTCCAAGAGCTTGACAGCCTTCTCGTAAATTTCATGGTTATCATGCGTCTGCAGATTCTCAATCTTATCCGACCCCTCGCATTCATCAATGATTTGTGCATAAAGATTGATCCCACCATTCATTCCCATATTTTTGTCAGCCTCACCCACCTTGAGAATGTTCTCAAGGCCTTCAAGGCACACTGTTACAATCCTTGGATCTGGGCAAATGAGAAGATCGCATAGCGGTTTAATACAACCTTGGGTCACCAAGAATCTGCAAGAAACATTAAACATGATTGTAAAATATTGGAAAAATTAAAAAATATAACAGGAGCACAATCTTATAATGAATCTAATAGACATATTCCAGTGGTAAGCGTAGAGCTTACTGAATTTGTTCATGAGATCCTCCAGAAGTGGCATTTGAGATGGCCCACGCAGCCTCCTTTTTTATGTCAAACTCTGCATGTTGGAGAAGTTGCACAAGTGGGAAGATGATACCAGCGTCTATCACAGCCTGTTAAATAGTAACCGATATACAGTAAAATGCAAGGGATGTATCAAGAAAAATCATACGGATCAAATTAATCCTGAGATAAGCCAAGCTACAGGATCAAGTAAATTTCCTTGCATCAAACGGGATTAAACACACATATACATTTGCAGAGGCCACACAAAACTTATCAAGAAGTATAAGCATTTTCTTTGCAATGTAATGATATAACTTGCAGGAAACAAAATACGTCAAAGCAAAATAAAAGTGTTACTAAATAACCAATTAAAAATATTTCTCTTGTGACAACTAGCTATGTTATGCATACTCAATAGAGTGCGGGGACCTTACCTAACAACTCCCCAGCCTAGCTTCCACTAAATAAAAGAGTAATGCCACACAACCATCTTACTTGTAAAGAAGATTATGCACCACCAGACCAGACATCCACCCAAAACATGAACACTGTAGTATAGTGGATTTTGTAGGTGCCATGCATTGATCAAATGCACGAGATAAGTATTACTTATGTTGCGTTTCAAACTTTGGATTGGTACTTTTTAAAAGAAAAGATTTGAATGACTTCCCAAACTATATTGTCTAAGTATTAGCATTTATATGAATGCAATCCACGTGTTAAATGCAGTGTCTGGAACATGATAAACTTCGAATGCTCAAGAAATATATATTTTTCATATTCTCTTAGTTCGGGCCCAAATCCTGAAGAAAGCTAAAAAGCACTGTTTTTCGGTTCATGAAGAAAGAGTGTCAAAAATTTCTTTTCATGCTTATCTTTTAATACTAGATGCATACAATTTAAACTAAGTAATCAAATCCATATCCCTAATTTCAATTACACATCTCTAAAATGTAATTAAGCAGAACTTTATACCTGTATTTGACCTTTATTTCCAGCTGTGATATTTGAAATTGTCCAACAAGCTTCTTTCTTGATGCTCTTTTTGTGATTTTGCTTGAGAAGTTGATTGAGGCAACTGAGAACTTGGTTGTCAATAGCATACTGGAAAATATAAAGGGGTCAGTTTGTTGCTATATATAAGTGAAGAAAAATTAAGGCATTATATGAAAAATAAAAATTTTAAACAAGACTCCCATTCAGCAAGAAGAACAGATTTCAGATGATATTAGGCTCTAAAGGGTATATAACTATTAGTGTTAATACCTGAGTCTGGGCATCATCACCAGTAACAATGTTACCCACTGTCCGAAGAGCAGGTATAAGAACCGTAGGCGATGGATGACTGCCATAAGCAAATTGTAGTAAACAAAAACACACCCAAGGTGAATATGCCAAAGAACTATTCTGAAGTATATCAAACCATTGAAGACCAATGCCATATGTGAATAGTTTGTAGAGGGTTTAGAGACTTACAGCAAAAGCTCCACAAGCCGTGGGCATACGCCTGTGTCAATCACAGCTTGAATTTTGTCATTTGAACCATCAGAGAGATAGGATAGGGCCCAGCAAGCGTCTGTCAAGACTTCTTCATCATTCAAGTAAATGAGATGTTTTAGAAATGGCAAGGCAGGCTTCACCTGTAAAGAGAACATGCCGATAACCAAGCAGAAAGGGTACTTATTACAGTTATGATAAGGCATCAACCCAAATTATTCTACGAAGGGATAACAGATGACATTTAAAACAGACAACTGCTGCATCTATAAAGTTTTAACAAAAAAGAAGTCTTCAATGAGTCCAAACCTGATCAAATGGGGTTGGTGGTTTTCCGCGACAAAAGTTAGATAGAGTCCAAGTAGCATTCCTCATCATGGATAACTTTGAATTTTCATTTAATTGAGCTAGCAATGGCATCAGTGCACCTTGTCCAAGAACAAGATCCCTGCAGTTTGGTGAGTCACCAGCAACATTGCCCAGAGCCCATACTGCCTGTTCAGGAAACAAGAAATCAAGGATCGTCACCTAGTAAAGTCGAATAAGTAGAAATATCTGACAGTAAAAGGAAGGGAAGCTATGAATATAGAATCGTAAAACTTAGAACCTAACAAAACATATACCAAAATAATGAGCAGGATAATTCATAAAACTTATAGATATTGGAAATATTCCAAGATATGCAAGCCTCATAATTATTTAGAATGTCCAGAGACATTTTCCACTGCGCACTGAAGTCAATGAAATTTCTGAACCTTGCTATTAACTTATATAGTGAAATTGGAAAATTAATGACATTCATGACTCAAAAAATTTCAGAAAGTGCAAAAGCCTAATTAGCAATGCTCTCAATCTCAGGTCAATGAAACTTGTGAAAGGTAAGGAGAAGGAACCTGCTCTCTGACATCATCACTGCCAGAGCTAAGAAGCTGCACAAACATGGGGACCGCACCATGCTCAATAACGACTCGTGTATGCTCTGATGTTCCAGATGCAACATTGGTCAAAGCCCATGCGGCTTCAAACTGCATATAAAGATGTAAGTCAACCTCAGTGTTTGATTACACCCTTTAAGGATAATTTCACTTAAACAAGAAATAAAGTTTCCGTACTTGCAGTTGGGGCAAATCATGTCTTCCAAGAAACTCAACAAACCGAGGGACAGCACCAGTTTTTATAACCTCATCAATAGGAGGGCTGCGCTCTACACAAAAATGAAAAACAAACCTCAAACAGACCTTTTACCATATCGGAAAGAAAATGAACTTGAAGCATTTGATCTGCAATCATACCGATTGATAATAACTTCCTAAATTGAGTAGTAGCGTCCAATTGCAGTGCAGGATCGTTAGACCATACTCCTTGCACCATTGACGGGATACTTTCCAGCTGTTAAACAATACCAACATCAATTAAAGACCAAACCTTTTAATATAACATCAAATAGCAAGAAGAGGAAACGTAAAGAGTGAACTTTATCTCATTCAAGATTCTCCTTTTCCCAGACTTAAAACAAAAATGAAACAAACTATATAACTTACTCTAAAGAAAGAGGAACATTATCCGATGCCTTAACCCTAAGTGTAAAAAGTTTATTACAACATAGAGAGCATGAACTGATAACTTCCTGCTTCCAGTTATCTTCTCAACAAACACATTCATTCAAATGAATTCCAAACACTATGTAGAGTTTTGAGCCATGCTTTTCTCAAATCGAAAATACTTTCAGATATCATGTATCATTCGGCACTTTCCAAACTAGTTGTGCTATTCTTTAAATGCTCAATAATTCAGCACTTCCTTTCACTTTCCCACAGTTTCTCTGTACTCATGCAGAACAGAAAAAAAAATCCATCGAAATCCGAAATACGCATACAAAGATCGATTAACCCTTACAATCAACTTCTTATTAAACGGTAATTCCCATTTCAATTCCTTTCACTTTCTTAGCAACCAAGCATACGCAGATAAACTAACTAATCTCAAACAATTCCAAATAAAGCATAATTCAAATCCCCTAATCACTAATCAAAAAGAACAAAACACAAATTAAAGCTAAGAACTTTCAAACAAAAATCAGCAAAAATACGAAGCAGTACCCTCTTCTCCAAAACGACGGTGGACTGGGACCCATCAAGCAGCTGCTGCTGGGACTGACTCAAACCTTCCCTCCTTTTCTTGAGCAAACTATCCTCCCGCTTATTCTTCCTGATCTCCACCAAGTTGTCTTCCCTCCTCCGCCGCGCTTCCTCCGCGTCGACCCCCGTCTTGTACGATTTCTTCCGCACATCGGTCCTCGTGCCCGGCCGCAGAGACATTACGTTTCGGATTCGTGGGGTTTTGCTTCGCTTCTGGGTTTCTGCGTTATTGCGCCCGCCGATTGTTCGATGAAATTACTCGGACAGGGCCACAGCGAAGCAACAAGGGAATCGGATATCGGAGTGCGCGTGAGTAGGCGGGAATATAATAGGAGGGTTTGAGGCTTGGCCGCGATCTTATGTAAGTTCGTATATATTCGTATACGACGCGTGTACGGAAATGTGATTTAAATTCGTCTTGACGAGAACCGAACCTAAAACTGTAGTATTAAGCGACCAATCAATTATAATATAACAAAAATATGTAAAATCTTATTGTCCATTGTATGGCGTCAAACCTCACGTGTGACCCATTATGCTTAAAATAACTATAGGTAGAAGATATCTAGTTTTGATATAAAAGGTATCCCATCACACATTCATAACGGAATGTTCTCTCTCACCATACAGTTCCAGTACCGCATGAGGTGGCAAGGTGCTTTTTGTTTCTGTAAAATCGGTGGCCCCAAGGAATTCTTCCATGGGAGTTTGGATCGGGTTTGGAGTTCCAAACCTCTGCTGGCTTTTTGTTTGTCAATCTCTTGTATTTTTATTTTTGAATAAATTATGTTAGGGACGGGCACCTCGGTTGCAGAAGGTATCAGGAAGGGAGGTTGTATCGACGGAGAAAGTATGTGTAAGGGATGAAACCTGCGATCGAACAGGATGCAGACGTGCAATTGAGCAAGATGCAGGGGCAGCAAAACTTCGGATTATCTTTCAACAATAAAATTAGTAGAGTGGAATGCAAACTTCGGTGCACAAGGTTTTACAAAATTTATAAAAGCCGAATCTGCTCAACCCCAATGTACTTGAGTAGGTGAAAAAGAAAATTGAATGTAGACAACCAGTGCCAGTTACACCTCAGAGACCATGACTAAGGAAAAGAAATGTAGCTGTGATGATTTCATATGCCTCTTCTTGTCTTGCACTACGCCGCCTACAAGCAAAACGAAGGATCTTCCTAGATAAATCGAACGGTATGAAAATAAGCTGAAGACGGTATTCAGATTCTACATCAGAAGTTGGAAAAAGAACTTTACCTTGTAAAGAGAGAGCCAGCCTATGAGTTGCACTCGCAGATGGGGTTGTCTGTACTGTGGGATTTATGAAAACGTAGTTCATGCACGAGAACCCAAGATTCCTGAAGTCAACGATAAACATACGTGAAACTGTGTCATGCTTATTAAATTGTAGGCATGTATTACAAACAAAAAGAAACCGGATTCAACAACGAGTAGTTGGTTATCATCTTATCTCCCTATTGGTGATGCCATTGCTACTTCTGGTATAATATTTTGTAATATGTCTTTTGACACACTGAAATTCATGAACAAAATACTCTCAAGTGGTATATTGAATCCTAACGATGAAAATTACTTTGCGGTTGAAGTACTAGACATTTCAAGAACTTCCGTAATTGAACAAAACAATATTGAACTTGAAGAGAGATTATGAAATGAGTAAAATGGGATTTGTAGCTCTGAAACCATCCAAATAAGGAGAAAATGTTAGTGAAGAAAAAGTGAGTGTTATCGCTGAGAAAAGTTACAGAAGTATATTGACAGAGTGTTAAGACCAAACTATAGTAAATTCTAATTATGGCCTTCTGTGGATAAAAAAGTTACAGAAGTATATCGATAGTGGTAAATATATGAAAAACGATATAGAAAAAAAATTCCATGGCCAAAATCTAAACAGAATTGACTCAGCTTAAGTACAAAATTTAGACCTTATTGTCATGGAAATATGTCAGCCCAAGAAGAGTAACATAAAAAATCAAAACAAGTAGTAACCACAAGCAGAGAAAGAATTACCTTGAAAGATTATCACCAAGAAGAAGATAGCGGTTACGACCATTGCCAAAAAGTTGATCTTTGACGACGAGGTTTTATCAGCTTTCATTCTCTTCAATGCATTCATTCTTTCTCTCCTTGCACGCCGCAACCTCGCACGCTTTGAAATTTCGTTGACCAATTCTATATCAGCTGCATGTAATGATGGCCCTGTAGGAGGCCGAGGTGGCTTGGGATGCTTCTTAGGGATCTTCTTTTTCTGTTTATCTCCCATTCTATTCTCCATTCCTCCTTCTGCCATTTTCCCCGTGCTACTAGCTAACATATCCATATTCTCACCAATACTCAAAACATTCTTGCTTGTGCTTAGCTCATCACTAGCTGCTATTGATCCATCAACATACAAGTATCCACTTCTTGCCCTAGCCATTGTTTTCCTGGGACGTTTACCATCTGAACTTGACTCTTCATGTAATTCTTCTTCATCGGAGCTTTCAGTGTCACCACTTTCCAAGTCAAAATCCAGATCACTTTCTCGAGAACCTAGTTCATCCATTACATACCTAACTTTGGACTTGCCCTCTTAGCCTCTAACACCTCAAAGCCATAAATCTTTGATTCAAACACAGAACAACCTATACAATATTTTCAGCTACGTCCGCTAAGCCATTCCTAAGATCAATGACACCTCTTTATAGCCATCAAACCCTTAATCTAAAGCAAGAAACCGTCTTTTCCTACATTACGAACTAATCATACATAAAAGCTACAAAATTTGCTTCTGAATTTCCCTAATTAAAGCTTATCCCAAACAGCGAAAAGGGTTTACAACAGTGTCATCAACCTAACCTCAAAAAAGTGCCCATTTGTTCTCATATCCTGGCATTCAACACAAAATACCAAAAATACAAAAAATTAACACAACAAAACTGTCGAATAACTACGAAATGTTTATCCGATTAAAAATGCAGTTTGTAATAGGTTAAACACAAACAATAATCATATTCCAATAACCCTATAACCTTCATGGTTTGTTTGGCACCCGAGAACAAGCAAGAAAACAAAAGCAATTTATGCAATTTTAACTCACATTTTCTGATTGTAAGGATAGGGAACATAAAATCCAACTCGCATATAATAATACACTTCTCGATTGGGTTGCCCAATTCCCCATTTCAATCCAAGTAAAGAGAAAGACAATGCGGATTGTAATTTTCCCGAAGCTTGTTAATTTCTTCCTTTATTCAGCATTTTCTCGGGAATTTGAAAAGGCATGATCGGAATCGTAATGGTATGAAAGCACGTACCTTGCGGCTGCAGAGCGAAGGCTGGAGGAAGGAGAGACGGGCAGGCAGCCAGCTGAGAGCTTAATTGGGGCTATTTCGAAAATATAGAACAAGACTCGGGGTTACTATGGAATGATGACCTAGGACCACCGCTGTGCCCTTATAGACGACACGCCGTATCTGTTTCTATTTTTGGCCAGTTTCCTTCATTTTTGTTGTTCTTTTTGGTACACAAGTCAATGAGAAATGATTTTTTACCGTTATCTACAGTAGGTTATTGATGTTAATGGAAGAATTTTGTCGTTAGATAAATGTTGTGGAAAATCTCTCAAAATGAGATTTTTCATGAATTTTCAGCCTATCTTATATTTTTGACATAATATTTTATAATGTTGATACTAGAATGGACGTTAAACTGGAGTCTGTAAAGATTCTTACTTTTAAGATATTCCCTTTAGCATGTACTTAACAAAGTTATTCTCAAAACAAGATGACTTGTATACCTGTTTGTATTAAAAAGTTATTGATATTACATTATCGATTGTATTAAAAAATTATTGATGTTACTTTTCATAGAGATGATCATTGAAAATGAAAAGAACAAAAGTGAATTAAAATAAACAAGTTTTAAGAAGGAATGTGGATAGTTTTGAGCAAGAGAATTTGACGCTCCTCTTACCACTTTTAAGAACTAACCTTTCAAAAGACAACACAGGTTTAAAAAGTAGAGAATTTGAAACTAAAAAGTCAAGTGCAAAAATCTCGATCCACAAGTGTAACCAAGATTATTCATCAAATTAAGAAAATTAAAAGGATCAAACATAAAATCCATCCGGCCGTAAGCACATATTAAAGCATTCCCAAGAGCTTGTCACCAATAAGACAAGTAGCAGCATAAACATCATGAACTGCATGCTTGATCTCCTCCTCTGAGAAAACTACTTTACCACTCCAATGAGGTTCCTGAAACAGCTCAACATATTGTGCTGCGGGTGGCTTAATATCCAGACCAACTTCAAGTCCCAACTCTTCGACCTTACAGCACCAGGCGAGTTTAGGTTTCTTCAAAACCCTAGCTGCCAAATGACCGAATCCTACCCCTACCCCTACCTTACAAACAAGAGAATGCCTATTAAAACGCTGAAGTTTGTACTCTGATACACCTACAAAACAGATGGTGCTGTCAGAGAGAAGTTGCCAGAGTTCTTTACAATAACGTAAGGTGCAACCGTCACTGTTAATCGCTGGGATAACCAAGCAGCGATTTCCAGCACAAAGAAGCAACTGTTCGACGTCTCGTTATATAGATCAAACTTAAAATCAAGACCCATGACGCGACGTGTTTCCAGAAAAGTCATCAGCTCTGATATCTTTCCGGCGATCAAACGAACATCAGTGACTACACTTACCTCAACTTTGTAACCATGAACTGTAACTTCATAATTACCCATCTTTGACAGGAACTGGTAAGGTATCATGTTAAGATATGTATAATATTCCTGAGCAGACGTAGAAAAACTCCAAGAGGAAAACTAACGAGGAAGCAAATGCACGAAGATATTCATATATAGGCCGAGTTTGGTGAATTTAATTGGATAACAGCGTGGTACCTAGACGAATTGATGGATTTAGTTGAACACATTGATAATATGAATCCAGGCCACTAGTCCTTTGATGTGAATATATGGGGCACTGGAAAGTCAACTTTGATGTGCACAGGCCCAGACTCCAACATTAAGCTCCTTTCGCTAAACCAGTTGTTGGCGTGCAAGGGCAAGGGCTTTATAATTGGGCCGCGGGTCTGCTGTTCCCAAATGGCTGTCTCATTCCGTGTCTCTTTGTTACAATGTCAACACATGTTCTACCACTTAAAAGAGTATTGACGTTGTTAAGTCTTATATTAAAGCTTAATGAAAGAAAAAAAAGTATCCTTAAAGTTCTCCTGTGTCTACAAAGCATAGTGTCATTAGCGAGAAGTGTAAGTTGTGAGTGTCAAAGAACATGTGCTCACTGTTTTTTGACATATAGGTAACTTGGTCAATCCGACTTAATAGTTGAGAAAATTATGGAGCCTTATTTGGCTAGGTTTAGGAGTCCTTATTTAGTGCAATTAATTATAAAAACCTTAATTAGTTAACAAAGAATTCGTTACCATTTAGGACTATAATGAAATCCTAATTGACTTGGAATATCCCTTTAATCAGTTAATAGGCCGGATTAAAGGGATGAGCGTCTAGATATTAAGAGGTCCCTGCACTCACAGCATTATCCTATTCTAGTGCAAAACCCTATTTCTGTGCATAAGGACTCTTGGCTGCTAGAGTGTAGAAGTTCCTCCTTGAAACCCTAACAGTCATGGCTTCTTCTTCCTCCGCTTTGGAAGATAAGTTTATTTCCCTTTAATTGTTTGATTGGTTCATTGTAATTATATTTGTTATATCTGTGATCCTAGTAACTTGTTGATTTTCAGATTACTTCTTACAAGAAGCTGTTCAAGTTCTTGTGATCGACGTTTACCAACACCAACCCAATCAAGCTGACCAAGACGCATTTGTGCTTCATAAAGCTGCACTGGTATGATCAAGCAACGACTTCCTGCACAAATCAGCACTATTCGAGCATACCGGAGATCCGGTCTTAATTATGTAGAGTCCCATAACAGAACTTTCGGATTTCAGAAGACCTCGTAGTTCTTATAGTTTTTCAGCAATCAAACAGGCACCATAAACCACATACTTTCACTTTAACATCAGGAACTTCAACTTCATAGTTACCCGATTTTTGCAGGAACTGATAAGGAAACATGCTGAAAATATTATCAATTGATAAGAGATCAGTGCAAGTCCATGATTCTGATAAGGGTAGCGTTATTGTTGGGTCTTCAGAAAGGTTACATTGCGCTCCAAATATCAAGAAATATAAGAGGAAAAATTTAGAGTAAATGATTTTTTCTTGAAGTGAATATATAGGTAAGCAGCAGGACTTGAGCATGTACATGTTTTAACTGATAAGAAGACAGTGGTACTCTTGTCCTTTTTGTAGGTATAATTTCCTATTCAAAACAAAAACTTCAATTTGATGTCTTATTGTAACTCTGTGGATTAAGATCATATATCTTCTTACTCGAGATTTCGAATTGAACTTCACAACCGCTTATATAAGAAAAACAAGAACAACTTACATGACACGAGTATACTGTTACGTGGTGTCTCATGCCAAAGAAATAAGGGCATGAGAACATAAACTTACATATCTTTATTTTATTGGCACTAAATGCTACAATGTCTGTGTACTCATGCTGTATAAGTCATTCTCAAGAAAAACGGAGGATCCACTTGTTGAATGTGGTGCGTGCCTTTGGACCTTTGCCCTATTGGATGGATATTGAGTCCTTGTGCAGGTGGAACTTGATGAACAAAAAGTTATGTATACAAGTGTTGGATATTTGTCAACAATTTGTGATAAACTTGTATATGCTAATAAATAATTAATATTGAACAGAATATGAACAATGAAATAATATTAAACAGAAAATTTGAAGATCGAGGCTTACGTACCGCAATGTCCTTGAAACAGAAATTTCGTCCCTACTCAGTGCTTATAGTTCTACGGACGTCTACTTCACCAGGATTCAACGATCTAAGTCAGGAATTTCAACACCGGAAAAATTGACTTCTGGCGAATTTCTGTGTGGTTCTCTCAGAAAGGATGTTTATGATTGTAGAAGAAGAATGTTGATTTTCTATGTTTTAAATGTCATGCAGATGGATGTATATATAATATGATTTGCCTGTTTGCAATAGGTATGAGGAAGGGATGCATTTGTTGGGAGACATCTTCTCATAGGGGTGTTGTGCTCTCTGCGTTTTTTCATTGGCTTCAGACTTCATCTGAAAAGATGAGTCTGTTCAAAAATAATTTAAATTCAAAATTAATTAAAAATAATTAATTAAAGAATTTAATTCTCATAGCCCTAAGGCCAAGGCCCATCTTTTGATAATTAATTATATATTAAATATATATATATATATATATATTATTAATTAATTAGTACACCCCAAAGCCCAACCTCAAGAGTGAGCCCAATTTTAGTCTCCAAGGCCTATCACTCCAATCACTTTCTATAAGAGACAAAACCTTATAAAATGAGGAAACCTTTTGGGAATGGCCAATGTGGGACAAAAAAATTTCTACTCAAAATTTCCAACAATACCCCACATTTGAGTTGAAATTTCATTCAAACTCCAACAATAACCCCACATTTGAATGCAAATGTATGATTAAGCTGCCTAAAACTGAGAGATAATAGACATGATATGCATCGGGTGAAGTGTCTTTTGGACTTGAACTTACCCTAGTGAAAACATATCAGGTTTACTTGGTGATGCAGTAGATGTGGAAGATCTTGAATTGTTCACTGCAGTAGTAAACCGAGACAATATGCTACACACAAATCACGTCTCCCACACGTCAATTCATACGGTTGTGTTCATTTTGGCCTTGAACAGATCTTGGATTTCATAGGAGCTTTAGAGAATTTAGCCATTTCAATTCTCATAAATACGGCCCCATTTACTCCTATATAGGAGACATTTATTAAGAATAGTCTATCATATTCCTCTTGATAACAAGATATTAATGTCATTAAATGTATAAAACATAACCCCTCAAACTCAACAGACAACATACATTTTATTATAGGAATGGATAAGTTGTGTGTTCAACATTTGAATCAAACTCAACTAGTTTGCCTATTGAACCTAAACCATAGGATCTCCAATTAGCTAAGTTAGGTTTCCGTCCAGTTCGATTCATTGAATTGGCTTGAGACCCATTCCTCTCGATGTAAATAATATTTGCTCTCTTGGTAGGCCTTTTGTCAAAGGATCAGCTATATTTTCCTTTGACTTTACATAATCAATGGATATTATTCAATTGGAGAGCAACTTCTTGAGAGTATTATGCCGACGCCTGATGTGTCGCGACTTTCCATTATATACATGACTTTTGGC